TTCACCTAAGAAATAAATGATTTGTCAAATACAATGGTAACAGAAACACACTTCCACTGCATCCTGCAGTAATTATTTATTTCATTGTAGCATGACTGTATCCTGCTGAACATATTTAATATTGGTTCTGAAACCGAAGAATATGCATAAAATAATAGAAAAAGACTGGGAGGACTTGCCCATCTCTAAGGCTGACATTACCGAGGTAAGTGGCCAGGCTCCAGGGGTGGGGGGGGTTCGCCCTGAGCCTTGCAAGCTCTGATGTTGTTGGGCTGTCTTGGCTCTTCAACACTGCGTGGACACTGGGGACAGTGACATTGGGGACAGTGACATTGGGGACAGTGCCCTTGCATTAGCAGACTGATGAGCTGGTCCCAATCTTTAAGAAAGGGGACTGGAGGATCAATTCCAACTTCAGGGGGATCCCACTCCTCAGCCTTCCTGGGAAGGTCTATGCTGGGGTACTGGAGAGGAGGGTCCATCAATTGGTCAAACCTCTGATCCAGGAGGAACAATGCGGATTCCTGCCAGGACACAGAATGCTGGACCAGCTCTTACCCTTAAGGATACTGGAGTCTTCATGGGAGTTTCCCCAACCGGGCTACATGCATTTTGTGGACTAGGAAAAGGCACTCGATCATGTCCCTTGGGGAGTCCTGTGGGGGGGAATTCAGTAGTATGGGGATGGAGTCCGCTGTTGCAGGCCATCAGGTCCCTATACAAATGGAGCGAGAGTTTGGTTCACATTGCCAGCAGTAAGACAGACTCATTCCCAGCAGAGATGGCAATTTCTGGTCCAGAAAGTAAAAATCCAGACCATGATTTACTTTCAACCAACCAGTTGAGCATAAAGAGTCACAGTCACAGAGTACTCAACTTGTTTGTTGAAAGTAAATCATGATCTGGATTTTTACTCTCTGGACCTGAAATTGCCACCTCTGATTCCCGGTGTGTGTTGGACTCTGCCAGGGCTGCTCTTTGTCACTGACTCTGTTCATAACTTTTATGAACTAGGTGTAGCCAAAGGGTGGAGGGGGTCCAGGTCAGGGGTCTCAGTATCGCGTCTTTGCTTTTTGCAGTTGATGTGGTCCTGTTGGCATCGTCAGGCTGTGACCTGCAGCCTGCACTGCGGCTGTGACCTGCAGCCTGCACTGGGGCAGTTTGCAGCTGAGTGTGAAGCACCCAGGATGAGGATCGGCACCTCCAAGTCTGAGGATGGTTCTTGACCTGAAAAGGGTGGATTTCCCTCTACTGGTGGGGGATGAGTTGCTGCCTGAAGCGGAGGAGTCTTATTCACAAGTGAGAGAAGAAGGGAGCAGGAGATTGACAGTCGGATTGGTCCAGCATCAGCAGTCGTGGTAAAGAAGGAACTGAGCTGAAAGGCAAAACTTTCAATTTACCAGTTGGTCTACGTTCCTACCCACACCAGTGGTCATGAGCTCTAGGTAGTGACTGAAAGAATGAGATTGCGGATACAAGCGGCAGAAATGAGTTTCCTCTGCAGGGAGTCTGGGCTCAACCTTGGGTGAAGAGCTCGGACATTCGGGAGGAGCTCAGAGTAGAGCTGCTGTTCCTCTGCATTGAAAGATCCAGTTGAGGTCGTTTGGGCGTCTATGTATGATGCATCCTGGGCAGCAGAAGTGTTTCGGGTATGTCCAACTGGGAGGAGGCCCCGGGACAGACCTAGAACATGCTCGCAATTGGCCTAGGAACGCCTCAGTATTCCCCTGGTGGATCTGGGGGAGGCGGCTGGTGAGTGGATTGGCATCCTTGCTTAGACTGCGGCCCTGGTGAGCCGACTGCCGATAAGCAGCAGAAAATGGATGGATGGATGGATGGATGGGATTCACCATGGAGATGTAGTTCAAAATTGGTGGTGGGAGGAGAAAGTCTGCAGTTTGGTCAGTGCTTACCACTTGTATGTGCCTTTATAGACGACATCACAGTCCTGAAAACAACGGTCCCCTGCACCAAGAGATCGCTTGAAAGCTCCATTGTAACACTACTTGAGTTAGGATGAAACTTAAACCTAGCAAGTGCCAAAGTAACTCTATTGTCAAAGGAAAAATCTCAGAACAGAGGTCCCATATTGATCCTGGCAGTTTTAAAAAAATGCCATTGAAGAGCTTGGGTCAATGGTACGATTCAAAGCTCACAAACACCAAGCAGACTAGACAATTGAAAAAGGACATCATGAAGTACGTGGCCGGACCTTACTGCCCGGAAAACATAAAGTGTGATTTGGTGTGCTTCCGAGACTCATGTTTTATCATCAGATCTACTTGTGACATTTTTCCTACTCCACAGAACCTACCCCTATGGTTAAGAGAAGATCCTGCATACCCTCTATGTAAAACATCTGCATCACTGAGACGCATCTCAACTGGATGCACAGCAAGCCTCACACAAGGCTGGTATACCTGAAGGCAAAACCAAGTCCTGAGGCAGCTGGTTTAAATCTTGGCACACTGGCAGATCACCACAAACAGTCTCAGAACAACACCAACGGGAAATGCTGTCAACTCCCAGAGCTTCCAGTAACATCCAAGGATGCGAGCATTCTGCAGGCATCTCGGGACTGGAAAATGGAGGTTGTTATGGACCAAAGGTTCATATTTCCACCAGAGGTCATAGCCACAGTACTCAGGCCTGACGGTCCTGTGGTCTACAGCAGCCAAGCTGATATACACTGCAGAACTACACTTGGAAAGCAAAGATTTTGTCAGTGGAGCTGCAGGGGATTTCCCAGATAACGGTTTTTCATTCTAGGAATGTTTATTGAACGTTACAAATAAGGTATGGAAACGTTCGCAGTGTTGAGTCTCCTGATGTCCTCTGAATGTTATTCCACTACTATGGTTACTACTATAACTAAGACTAATCATGTAAAAAGACACAAAGGCAGGTGGAGCAGCTGGTATCACTACCATGTCATACCTCAAAAGTTGCAGGTTCAAGGCTGGATGGTGTGTTTGCAGCATACCCATGTAGCAATTTTATAAAACAATATTTTTCAGCATTACATTAAAAGGATGTTCAGGCAATTATGTTATTGTGTTAACACTGACAGAACCTTAGTTAAAATATAAAAATGGAAATAACATTCATTTAACGTTACAGAAAGAACATTCTCTTTGGCTTTTGGAGAACTTTCACGTAGCGTTAGCTAAAGTTCTGTTAGCTGGGTTGTTGCTTCGTCAAGCAAAGATGGGAGTCAGGGGTCATTAGCAATGCGGCATTAAGTCCAAACAAAACAAGCAGCAAGAGGCTTTGGGTTAAGAGGAAAGAGGACACCTGGGCTGTACAGTGAAGAAGCATGAAGGGGGGTTTGGCACCGCGGGGCACATCAAGGAAGGATGTCGCCCACCCATTGCCCCTATGGTGTGTCTGAAACATGAAGTCCTATAAACTTTGACTGGGGCACATTATGTTTTCTGGGAGTGCAACTCTCTCTAGTTGCATATGAGAGGATTGGCTGAATAATTGTCATGGTGCCAGAGGATTGGCTGAATAACTGTGATGGTGCCAGAGGATCGGCCGAATAACTGTGATGTGGCAGAGGATTGGCTGAATAATTGTCATGGTCCCAGAGGATTGGCTGAATAATTGTCATGGTCCCAGAGGATTGGCTGAATAACTGTGATGGTGCCAGAGGATTGGCCGAATAACTGTGAAGGCTCACACCACCTCAAGCTTCATGTGGGCTCTGCCTGGTACCTTAACGCTCATACTAAACTGCAGATGCATTATGGAGCTTTGAAAGCTCTCAAATGATACTAGCACAAAAACTTTTATATTGTCCTTCAAAAAACCACACAATTTACATACATTTCCACAGTAACATTTGATGTATGTTACATATATAAGTCATATTTCTGATTTTTGGGGCAACTTCAATTCATTTAGCTTCCTGCTGTTGTAATATGTTTGGTTATATCTGACATCTAAAATATAATGATAAATGATACCTCTGAGAGCTTTTATGTTGTAAAAGAGACATTAAAACTGAACTAAGAGCTGTGCTCTTTAAAAACAATCTCTAATCCCCAGTGCCTCCTGTTTTCCCAGGATGTCATTTGTGGCTGCCGTTGCCCTGACAACATCTTGCTGGTGCCACCTATACCCCGATGCATCACGTCTGTACTGCCAAACCCGCTGCAATGCAGGTCCGACCTTAAGAAAACTTAATGAAAATGATAGTGTTATATTTTAAAATACATTTTATGACATATCTTAACTTATGAGTAATGTATTTACTAAGATTTGCCATGTCTGCATTTTTTTAAAAAGCATTTCAAAAACCATGTATTTGGTTAAACTTTGCTGGCAGCCCGTCCAGGACGTAACCCCAGCCTGAGGACAACCTGCAGCCCTACCGGGTCTCCACTCACGGTCTATCAAACCACACGTTCTCATATTTGAATGCATATGCCAAATTTCCAGGTTCAGACATAAATTACCCTCAGAACCCTGAGATGTTCGAGGAGAATCAAAGCGATGGAACAATGCTGCTCATAGATCCCCCTGGAAACAGCATAGCAATAAAAGTTTTACTGAGAGTAAAGTTACGGCACATACTTACAACCACGCTCATGCTCACTTCTGCCTAAATAAGATGGGTTTTTTTTTCCTAAAAAAATCCAGAAGCAAAGCTTTCGCTACATGGGTAATTTTAAGGAGTGAGGGAAATGCTATATACTAAAATGAAGCATTATACTCATCTTTCCTCACTTCTGACATGTTGGTCACCGATACGTGTGTAACAAGTAGGGGGCAGTCAAGAGCATGTCACGTTATATTTCAGAGAGTGGACAGGGACGCTATTAAAACATGTATTTCAATAGACCAATAACCTGTGTTCATGGCATGAATCATATCTATGCCTGTGTATAAAATCAAAGTTGTAGTACTTAAAAAAATAATAACTCCCATGAACAGCAATATTTAATTTTTATAGATGGGTGATATGACCTAAAAAAAAAAAAACACGTGCAACTTTCCCACTGTAACAATGAGTGTATTAAACCATGAAATTCAGCAGCAATACAGTCTCCATTTTCCCAGTCAATAAAAGTGCTGAATAACACATGAGGAACTCACCACACATCATTAGAGAATATTTTTTTTTCTCCAATCTAAAAAGCTGATCCTCCCAGTCCAGTTTAAATCAGTACTCCCACTCCCCCCCAGCAGGTGGCGCTGTGCAGCCTGTACGGCGGTGGGGCTCGGCCTGCCTCCCCAGCTTCTTCCTCGTTGCTATGACACCTGCTCCACTGGTCTCATCTGCAGATCTCCAATCTGGACGACAGAAGGAAACAGAAGACAAGCTTTCCCCGTTTTGTCATAAGATTCATCCTCACAACAAGCATCATTTTACAGCAAATTGCTGGTTGTTCTTTCATTGGATTTATGTTGCTTGGCCAAGTAGAACTTCAGTTATTCTCAGCTATTAAAATCTCAGGTGTCAGGACTTGAAATTCTATTTTAATGAATCTTATTTGCTCTCGCAATGTATAACAGAAAATTGCACATCATGCACAAAAAATACAAAACAAATGACTAATATAGTGAATACAAAATTATTTTATACTAAAAGATAAAGTAAACTTTAGAAGATAAATATCTGCAGTTAGATTTACGGATCAAAAAACAGTAACAGGGACCTACTCAGCAAACCGCTGTAATAGCGCCCCCCCCCCCCCCCCCCCATCACATTCCAACGCCTGACTTACCTGCACATGGGAGGGTGTGCTCAGCACGTACGTGACCGCATTCGCTATGTCCTCTGCTTTCAGGCACTGCGGAAGCAAGCGTGCTAAGCTGATGGAGCGTCACAGCCACAGTAATGTCAGCCCCGTTTGATGACCCCCCCAGTCTCCCTGGGCTCCATCCCTGCCCCCTCACCTTGATGCTCTCATAGGTGGCTGCGGCCTTCTCAGGGTCACTGTCATGGTGCCGGAAGGCGAACTCCGTCTCCACTATTCCCGGGGATATGCACTGGGGAATATCAGGGAAGGTGTTATACAGAGTCCGGGATCGATGGCTCACGGCACCGGGATCATCACGGAGGTGACAGGTGACGTTGCCCCGCGGTGTGTTTTTAGGCTGGGTCAGTTGGTGGTGACGATGTGGGCATGGTGGCGAGAGCAGGTCTGCCTGGTGGCCTCACCGTGGTCCGGATGTGGGTGCCGGCCTCCCGCAGCTCCTGCCGGAGTCCCTCGGTCAGCGCGGTCACTGCGTACTTGGTGGCACAGTAGAAGTGCTCGTCAGCGCTGGGCACCATCCTGTGGCCCCCCATGCTGCAGGCACAGACAGAGACGGTTGCAGGTGAACTTCCATATCATCGGCAGGTCCTCCAGAATCATAACATGAAGGGAAGGATCTGCGGATAACTGTACTCATGATTCCTAATAAGCTAAAAATTCACAGTTATGACATCAAAATGTCAACGTGTCAGTTTGCGGAAAAGGATCTTAGAAAAGAACCTACAGTGCCCTCCAAAATGTTTTGGACAAAGACACATTTGTCCCCCTCTGTTCCCCAGTTTAAAATTTTAAATCAAACAATTCAGACGTGATTAATGTGCAAATTTCAGACTTGCTAGGACTACTTGAAGTCTGCAATTCATAGACATCACCAGGTGCTCAGTATCTTCTTTGGTGATGCTCTGCCAAGCCTCTACTTCCGCCTGTTTAGAGAGTTTACTGAAAATAACAGATACTCCAATATACTCCCAGTCTGGTTGTGTGTGCTATAAACTGTACCTACTAGGAACAGCCAAAACAAACAGACCTGCAAATGAAAGATAAAGAGGAAAGTCAAGCCGCACAGGTGACCATATATGGGTCGACGGCACAGACACAGTACCTGTTGATGTTGATGATGTGGCCATCATCCACGTGTCTCTCTTTCATCGACTGGTACGCCTGACGCGTGCATATGGAGAGGGCGAGCACATTCACCTGGGGAGCACACAAACTCAAAATTATAATTACCACGCTTTGAAAAACTCACGTTAAATACCATCCAGCATCAACCAAAGTTGGCGACAGTCTCCCAGTGGCAGGAGCTCGTGCGCAGTGTGCAGTGTGCAGTGTGCAGTGTGGGATTGTTTGGTGTCAGTGAAAACGTGGCGGAAGGCAGTGACTCCGCTCCACAGGCTTTAATGTTAATGCACGTTCGATATGATTTTCACGCGTTTACATAAGGTATCGGCCATGTTATTTTAATGTTCATTGTAACAAAAACTGCAGTGAAGCTAATTTTATTTACGATTTTCAATATAAAGCTTGGTGAAAGTATTTCAATTTGTGTATCATTACTTTTTGAACATTTTCAGCGAATTTTAACATACCGAGATAATACTGATAACCATGATAATTTCCGTCACTATAATCATGACATTAAATTTTCATGCCATTTCATCTCTAGTGTGTAGCAAGGACTGGTGGGACAACATTGTCCTAAAATAATTTAGCCATGTGGGCTGCAGGGCAAACCTCAGAATGATGCAACACTCCCATATGTCCACTTACATTTCCCAAATACCTGCTATGTTGCTTCAACTCAAGACGTCATTACTGTATGCAAGTAACATGCTCAGAAAGTACCAAACACAGAGGGCAATCAGACTGAGCATTTAAATTACTAATATTTTTATATCTAAATGATTATCAGAAGTCTACACCACTCCTTTCAACCGAAATAGAAATGAAGTGAAAATTCAATTGGTTTGGGGTAATTTATCCTTATTGAGGTGTTTACATAAGACAATTTCATTCAGATCAAACTTCATTCCAATTATTAATGGATTATTAGGCTCAATGTCAATGTAGCTAATGTAGCGATAATGGACAGGGTAGGAATGAGGTGATCGTTAAACTGCTTTTTTCCTGAAATGTCACGTTTGCTTTCTGTGAATATCTTCTTATGGTCTTACATATAATGACATATATGTAACAACATCACAGTTGAGGTGTGCCCTGCCTTGACCACAATGCTTGCTGGGATAGGCTCTGGATGACTATGACTCTACAAGGATAAGTGGGCAAACAATACAGACAATTTGATGTATTAAGAAATCATCTCCCTGCAGTCCTACAGCATTTCACTGATTTCTGAATAAACACGCAGGCTGAGATTTTCAGGTTTAGCAGAGCTACACAGAAGAATTCTCACTCTCACCCCAGGCTTTGAAAGTTACATTCATGCCAGAAGACCGCAACCTCCAACTCAAATCATTCCTCCGTAACCAAGAGACTGCTTTTGGTAAAATGTACATAGCTATCAAAAGCTCAAGTATTCTTCACGTCTCTTCAGCCCAGCAGTTTTATGTATTTTATCCACTCTGTGGTTCACCGATCATATAAAAAATCCGCAGCCTTACAACAATGAACAGAAAGAGATTAAAAGATGCAACTTTCATCAATCAAAGTCAAGGCTCAGGCTGCTTCATTAAGCTTCATCTTCTCCCTGATGTGACCCCCCCCCCTCACACCCACGGTGAACCTTCACGTGCGTACAGCCGTCTGCCCTGCATCCCCAGGGCCGTCACCGTCGCCACGGAGACTGGCCTTGACTGGGGGCAGGGGGAAACAAGGAGTGAATATCTAAACACAGCGAGCTTTCCGAAGCATCCAATGGACATCAAAGACGTTAGTATTTCAGTCACCATAACGAGAAACAGTCACTTCTAACACATAAAGTCCATCGATCCAGTAATGTCAGTATGATGTCAATGTTGTGAACAATAAAGGCTAAAAAAAACACACCATGATCTTGACGTTGCTTGACTAAATCACAAAAATAATAATAAATGCTGCCTATTAACTTATAATTTAGATTTCCTGTTAAGAAATATGGATTTTATATTTGGCTTTTGAGAGGCCAATATGTATATGAGCGGAAATACTGTTTGCTAATGTTAAAAGAATTAAACGAATAAGGTTTAAACAAAGGAAGTCTCATTAAATGACAAACATGAAGTGTGGCTCAAAGCAGGTTAGGCGTACGTATGATTAGATGCCCAGCGATAAAGACACAGAACCAGAGTAGAAGAGTGTCACAGGGGCGCAAGTGCGAGCTATAGCAGCACTTCACAGGAAGAGGAAGAGGGTCAGTATGGAAACCTCAGCGCTAAAAATACTCAGGACGCATTTATCTCGGGCGCCATGGCGATAGCTGGACGGCCACAGAAAACAACGCGCTTTTCGCTAACCTGAATAGCACAGGCCTAAAGAGTCACCCAGGCAGTATGAAAAGGCAAGGGGCTCCCACAAGCTGCCTTTTGTCTGGGGCCGAGCCTCTACTCGCAACCAATGGGGAAGCTTCCTGCGAGCGATCACCCCACCAAGCCGAGGGCCGGTCCCCAAAGACAGGGCCTGGCCGTCAGTAACCCCACGGGGGCCGGTCCCCAAAGACAGGGCCTGGTCGTCAGTAACCCCACAAGGGCCGGTCCCCAAAGACAGGGCCTGGCCGTCAGTAACCCCACGGGGGCCGGTCCCCAAAGACAGGGCCTGGTCGT